TTGTCGAAGAACGTCCCTGGAAGAGTAGGTCTAGTCAATGACGGCATAACGCTAATATAAACCAGAAAACGACAGGTGCTTCGCAATATATGTTAAAGCTAATTACATTTCTAATTATACTAAACATTCCAACTACTAACAGCATAACTTCTTCGTACCATGGGCGGAAGCAGCATGGCGGCAGAATTGATGAGGCACCCATTCGTACTGTAATTTTAGGGATTTACAGCACCGGCGATGTTCAAGGTGTACGTTAATTATATAACTTTGTTGACTTATTTTGAGACTCTTCATAACAAATTTAACTTGTGATGGAATGAACAAAGATAAAAAATTTTTTAGATATGTGCAAGCAGGCAACAACGCGAATGAACAGGGTTCGATTAGGAATTTCGGCTCTGTTCAGCAATGCAGGTAAATGGAAAAATTGGAACAGACCACCTTTACGTTCATTTCGCTAACTACCGGACTGATGAAGAAAAGAAAGCAGGCAAAATTTCATTGTTAGACCGTAAAGCGAGTCGCTTGGGCAACGGCTCAACGGTGACGTTGGTGTATGCAATGCCAACACATAGTGAACACTGTTCGTGCCACAAAAACCTAACCACATCCTTGCCACTAAAACTGCAGTGGTTAAATACCTGATTGACTCAACTCACAATTTGTATTCTTGTGCCCGGTTTGAAAAGGAGGAGAAGCATCACTTCAACGCAATGAGGCTAAAGGTACCGCAAGAAGTTCATCCGAAAGTAAAAAAAAGAGTAAATCTCTACAAGAAGCTCAATCATGCAACAATCAGCATTTTCTACTCATTACCATATATTCCTGCTCTAACTGAATGCATAAAATGGATTATAAACTCGATGAATAATGGAGTTTTCTTTAAGTGGAGGAGAAAGCTGAGATTACTATAAAATGCCGGATTTCCCAAGAAAACAGGCGAACGGTAAACTAGGGACCGCTGGTCAAAACATTGTGATATTGCTATTAAACGTTATTACGTCATATTACTATTAAACGTTTATTTCATTGGTACACCATCCGTGGATCCGGCAAAAGGAATGTCTTTGAAAGGGTATTTTCAGAAGCTTTACTGATCCATATCATTGAAAATGCTACGTAACAGGACTTTTCAAGGCTTGATTTAATAGAGAGAGGGGGCTTATGACATCTACCATCATCGCTCATTTCACTAGTACCTGCGAAAAATGAGGAATAAAAATATCAAGACCAAATTTAATGACCAATGATTATTGACACGTAATCAGACTGATAACGTTAACAAGCAAACGGATAGAGACTCCGGACAAAACTTCATACCAACTGAGCAGGATTGTAGTCGTATGAACGTATATAAAGCAGAAGTTTTCAGTCTTTTACTCATCATAAGTGCAAGCATGGTGACATTCTGTGGTTAGTATTGGGTAAGGCTCAAAGGACAAAACACGGCTTCGAATAGACTGCATGCTCCAAAAGTGAAAATAAAGTGTTGAGGTGGTAAAAGACCCTCGACTTGTGTACTTCGGCGGCTGAACCAAAAGCACTGGAGCCGGAATCGTTTCATTTCTTGTCGCCGACGAAGCTGAGGAAGCTATGCCTCGCTTTCAGCGAGACACATGCTGCGTGGGTGCCTATTCAGCACCTTGCTTTCTGTGATTGACTTGACGATGAGTGACGGCTTGGCCAACCGGATAAGTAGAGGTTGTCACGATAAAGCTGTCTCGTTAATATTGTATTGATGACCTCCTGTGAAGAAACATGGAGTATCAAGAAACTCATAACGCGGCTGTTTGATCCGTCATAATTGACGCAAACCTGTACCGTTGGCCGAAGCCAAGCGCGAAGGATTGAGGTTTAGTTTTACTGAACCTCTGCTCCCGTCAAAGAATCATAAGGAAGTAATCCGTTCGACGATTTTGCGAACTCGTCTTCGTCAACCTTAACGTACGTACCATTTCCGAAGATTAATCCGTTGAATCCTTTCCGGACGCCGGAACGGAAATGGCGGGGTTTTCGTTGAGACGTTCAGGAACGAGGAAACAAGTACTGGCGGTTCGGTCGGTTGTTCGGCTGAGTTCAGACTGACGAACAAGCGGATTGATCGCGATGCTTATTGATGGCTTTGCTGGTGAAGAAGTTTCACAACGCCGAGACGCAGTTGTTTATACGCCTTCGTCGCCGAAAACAGAGAGAAGATGACAAGCAGAACGAGAACGACACTAGTATCATCGAGGCGGTTCACTCAGAACGTAGTCGTATTGCCGCTCATCGCGAGGCCGTGGCGAGCAACAGAGTCAGAGTCAGACGACGAAGTGATGACTGTTTGTCTCGCCGGCGTTGGCATACGGGTAAACAAAAGTCGTCGAGGTGAAACTTCGGCCATCCTTAACACAGGCGAGTCTCGACTCTTCTGACCGACCGACCGACCGACCGGCCGGCCGAGTTTTCGGCCACCTCGAGTTGATCATACCGATTATTATGAACGCCGCTTTATGAACGTGCCAATGACGAATGTGGAGTCTTTCGCACATCGGCAAATGGATGGACAGCCCTACACTGCAGGCTTGTCTGACTGAAATCAATGCGATCAAACGATGCAAACTCGACCACCACGTTGCACTTCGCTTGCTGTGCACGGGGTCTCCGTCAATCGTTCGGCATTGTCTCATCCATCATCACTCGATCAATCATCAAACACAAACTTTACGCAGAAAACATCTTTAAGTAATCAATTCGTTTAAGTACTACTATATTGAACCTTTGAGGAGGTACGTAGTCAGTGGACAGCCGAACTACTTTGTACTTCAAGCCGGATAACGTGGCAGGTACTCGTGCTTGCAAAAACCCGGAAGACCGGCAATCGGGGATAATTCGCAAGCAGCAGTTCAATTCGGCATTGCCTTGCGTGGATCGCGCGCCGCCTACTTAAGAAGTGCAGGAGCTGTGAGTGATCAGGTCGCATAATGAGCGACGATACGGGCCCCGGCAGAAGTCAAAAGCGCAGCAGGCAAAAGTCCCCGCTTCAGAACAGTAAAGTGACAGCAGTGTACTCAGGGCTTGTTTTTGGTGAATAGCACGTCTTTTGCGGGTTCTTAGTGATTTAATCGCAAACGATCGTCCGTTACTAGATGATTAAACCATTGACATTTTGTTTAGTGCAGAATCGTTCACTTTCTGAAAAAAAAACCCTTTACAACTTCTTTCTCTCCCTCAAAAACAATAGAAGATTCATGTTCGCTTGCAACAGTTACATATCAACTAAATAAATATTGATATCAAAGTAAACAGTTACTGAATATCACTTTCAATTCTTGAAATCATTCAACACGATGGCAAGTTCTCGTAAGAATGTACATTGAACTGAAAGGGTTGGAAATGGTACATATTTATTCGGTCCAATTACTTAAACGGCAAGAAGCGTCATATTGCGCGCACTGAGATGGAAAGAACCAAATTCCAATAGCACGTGATGATATGAATGTATAAACTTTCGTAAACGCTATTATTAGTCGTTGAGAATCCAAGTGATGCCATGATAATGACACCATGTTTCTTCAGTTATATCAACCCATAAAGAATGCCTTGGAGCAGGAAAAAATCGGTCACGAGTCAGGATAGTTCAAACGTTTTGTGTTAACTGCTCTGAACATTTCTGACTAAGGTAGAGCTGAGTCTGAAGAGGAGGCTCTCTCTGTTCAAGTTGATTCTGATTCCTGTACTCAAATATGGTCATGAGGCGTGGAACATTGCTGTAAACTTACACTCCCAGGTACAAGCGGCTGAAATGGGCTTTCTTAGACGAGTCGCTGGCCTTACGCCTCTCGACATGGTCCGGAATACTGACATCCGGAAGAGTCTTGATATGCACTGGCTGCTTCTCCAGATTGAGAAGTTACGGCTACAACAGTTTGGGTATCTCTTGTATATGCCTTCAAAAAGGAAGTCCAAGCAGTCACTGTTTGGTCACTAGACGGTTCTAAGACCAAGGGATAGTCAACAATGAGCTGAGGCAAGATCTTTGCTCGTTTCAGGTATTCTTCCGCTAAACCTCAGACATATGTGTGCTTGTGGCACGGGATTGAGAGCGTTTGAGACAGCGCTGTTGCCTTCGCGGCCAGAAAAGACAAACGGTCATCGAAACGGAATTGAACTTTGAGAATCCTTTAGATTTTCTTCTGTCAATCTTGATTATGATCTGCCATCCTCCGTTTGTGAGGTTTTGAGGACTTCATGAAAATATTCATATATTCATTTTGCCATGCATTCTTTGGGAATTATTACGTACAACGGCTTTCCTTTAATTCAATCATTCCGATTTTGGCTGTTTACTCAGCGCTGTTTATCGAAAGACCTTTGCCCGTAAAGCAAAACGATGTCAGTTCCAAAATCATTGACTCATTAGTATGCAGCCTCATGATTCAAAATTAGTCTTCATGGTCAAGAAGGGCACATTCCGTCATGATGCCTGTTAATCTCTTGTTCCAAACTTTAATCGTAGTTCATTCTCCGCACAGTATAAATGGAATAAAAAACCTATTAAATTCTTAACCATGCGTTTTAAACCGTCGTTTAGTTAGTCTCGTTCAAACTACATTGCTATTAACACAACAATACTAGTCGAAAGCACAAACAGTTTTGAAATTGATATG